GTAAGTAGTAGTAAGTAGTAGTAAGTAGTAGTAAGTAGTAGTAAGTAGTAGTAAGTACTAGTAAGTAGTAGTAAGTAGTAGTAAGTAGTAGTAAGTAGTAGTAAGTAGTAGTAAGTAGTAGTAAGTAGTAGTAAGTAGTAGTAAGTAGTAGTAAGTAGTACTAAGTAGTAGTAAGAAGTAGTAAGTAGTAGTAAGTAGTAGTAAGTAGTAGTAAGTAGTAGTAAGTAGTAGTAAGTAGTAGTAAGTAGTAGTAAGTAGTAGTAAGTAGTAGTATGTAGTAGTATGTAGTAGTAAGTAGTAGTATGTAGTAGTATGTAGTAGTAAGTAGTAGTAAGTAGTAGTAAGTAGTAGTAAGTAGTAGTAAGTAGTAGTAAGTAGTAGTAAGTAGTAGTAAGTAGTAGTAAGTAGTAGTAAGTAGTAGTAAGTAGTAGTAAGTAGTAGTAAGTAGGAGTAAGTAGGAGTAAGTAGTAGTAAGTAGTAGTAAGTAGTAGTAAGTAGTAGTAAGTAGTAGTAAGTAGTAGTGAGTAGTAGTGAGTAGTAGTGAGTAGTAGTGAGTAGTAGTGAGTAGTAGTAAGTAGTAGTAAGTAGTAGTAAGTAGTAGTAAGTAGTAGTAAGTAGTAGTTTAAGTAGTACGCAGTAGTAGTACGCAGTAGTAGTACGCAGTAGTAGTACGCAGTAGTAGTACGCAGTAGTAGTACGCAGTAGTAGTACGCAGTAGTAGTACGCAGTAGTAGTACGCAGTAGTAGTACGCAGTAGTAGTACACAGTAGTAGTACGCAGTAGTAGTACGCAGTAGTAGTACGCAGTAGTAGTACGCAGTAGTAGTACGCAGTAGTAGTACGCAGTAGTAGTACGCAGTAGTAGTACGCAGTAGTAGTACGCAGTAGTAGTACGCAGTAGTAGTACGCAGTAGTACGCAGTAGTAGTACGCAGTAGTACGCAGTATACAGTACGCAGTAGCACGCAGTAGCACGCAGTAGTACGCAGTAGTAGTACGCAGTAGTAGTACGCAGTAGTAGTACGCAGTAGTAGTACGCAGTAGTAGTACGCAGTAGTACGCAGTAGTACGCAGTAGTAGTACGCAGTAGTAGTACGCAGTAGTACGCAGTAGAGTAGTACGCAGTAGTAGTACGCAGTAGAGTAGTACGCAGTAGTAGTACGCAGTACGCAGTAGTACGCAGTAGTAGTACGCAGTAGTACGCAGTAGTAGTACGCAGTAGTACGCAGTAGTAGTACGCAGTAGTACGCAGTAGTATTATGCAGTAGTACTACGCAGTAGTACTACGCAGTAGTACTACGCAGTAGTACGCAGTAGTACTAAGCAGTACTACGCAGCAGTACTACGCAGTAGTACTACGCAGTAGTAGTACGCAGTAGTACTACGCAGTAGTACTACGCAGTAGTACTACGCAGTAGTACTGCGCAGTAGTACGCAGTAGTACTACGCAGTAGTACGCAGTAGTACTAAGCAGTAGTACGCAGTAGTATTACGTAGTATTACGTAGTATTACGTAGTATTACGTAGTATTACGCAGTAGTACTACGCAGTAGTACTACGCAGTACTACGCAGTACTACTACGCAGTACTACTACGCAGTACTACTACGCAGTACTACTATGCAGTACTACTACGCAGTACTACTACTACGCAGCAGTACTACAGAGTACTACGCAGTACTACGCAATAGTACTACGCAGTAGTACTACGCAGTATACTACGCAGTAGTACTACTGCAGTAGTACTACGCAGTAGTACTACGCAGTAGTACGCAGTAGTACGCAGTAGTACTACGCAGTAATAGTACGCAGTAGTACTACGCAGTAGTAGTACGCAGTAGTAGTACGCAGTAGTAGTACAGAGTAGTAGTACGCAGTAGTAGTACGCAGTAGTACGCAGTAGTAGTACGCAGTAGTAGTACGCAGTAGTAGGCAGTAGTAGTACGCAGTAGTAGGCAGTAGTAGGCAGTAGTATGCAGTAGTACGCAGTAGTACGCACTAGTACGCACTAGTACGCAGTATAGTACGCAGTAGTACGCAGTAGTACGCAGTAGTACGCAGTAGTACGCAGTAGCACGCAGTAGTACGCAGTAGTACGCAGTAGTACGCAGTAGTACGCAGTAGTACGCGCTGTATAGTACGCAGTAGTACGCAGTAGTATACGCAGTATAGTACGCAGTAGTACGCAGTAGTAGTACGCAGTAGTAGTACGCAGTAGTACTACGCAGTAGTAGTACGCAGTAGTGCGCAGTAGTAGTACGCAGTAGTACGCAGTAGTATTACGCAGTAGTACTACGCAGTAGTACTACGCAGTAGTACTACGCAGTAGTACTACGCAGTAGTACGCAGTAGTACTAAGCAGTACTACGCAACAGTACTACGCATTAGTACTACGCAGTAGTACTACGCAGTAGTAGTACGCAGTAGTACTACGCAGTAGTACGCAGTAGTAGTACGCAGTAGTACTACGCAGTAGTACGCAGTAGTAGTAGTACGCAGTAGTACGCAGTAGTACGCAGTAGTACGCAGTAGTACTAAGCAGTAGTACTACGCAGTAGTACTACGCAGAAGTAGTACGCAGTAGTACTACGCGGAAGTACTACGCAGTAGTAGTCCGCAGTAGTAGTACGCAGTAGTAGTACGCAGTAGTAGTAGTACGCAGTAGTAGTACGCAGTAGTAGTACGCAGTAGTAGTACGCAGTAGTAGTACGCAGTAGTAGTATGCAGTAGTAGTACGCAGTAGTAGTACGCAGTAGTAGTACTACTACGCAGTAGTACTCTACGCAGTAGTACTACGCAGTAGTACGCAGTAGTAGCACGCAGTAGTAGTACGCAGTAGTACGCAGCAGTTGTACTACGCAGTAGTACGCAGTAGTACTACGCAGTAGTACTACGCACTAGTACGCAGTAGTACTACGCAGTACTACTACGCAGTACTACGCAGCAGTACTACGCAGCAGTACTACGCAGTAGTACTACGCAGTAGTAGTACGCAGTAGTACTACGCAGTAGTACTACGCAGTAGTACGCAGTAGTAGTACGCAGTAGTACTACGCAGTAGTACGCAGTAGTAGTAGTAGTACGCAGTAGTACGCAGTAGTACTACGCAGTAGTAGTACGCAGTAGTACTAAGCAGTAGTAATACGCAGTAGTAGTACGCAGTAGTAGTAGTAGTAGTAGTACGCAGTAGTAGTACGCAGTAGTAGTACGCAGTAGTAGTACGCAGTAGTAGCACGCAGTAGTAGTACCCAGTAGTACGCAGTAGTACGCAGTAGTACGCAGTAGTAGTACGCAGTAGTAGTACGCAGTAGTACGCAGTAGCACGCAGTAGTACGGAGGAGTACGGAGGAGTACGGAGGAGTACGGAGGAGTACGGAGGAGTACGGAGGAGTACGGAGGAGCACGGAGGAGTACGGAGGAGTACGGAGGAGCACGGAGGAGCACGGAGGAGTACGGAGGAGTACGGAGGAGTACGGAGGAGTACGGAGGAGTACGGAGGAGTACGGAGGAGTACGGAGGAGTACGGAGAGTACGGAGGATACGGAGGAGTACGGAGTAGTACGGAGTAGTACGGAGTAGTACGGAGGAGTACGGAGGAGTACGGAGGAGTACGGAGGAGCACGTGAGCACGGAGGAGTACGGAGGAGTACGGAGGAGTACACGGAGGAGCACGTGAGCACGGAGGAGCACGGAGGAGCACGGAGGAGCACGGAGGAGCACGGAGGAGCACGGAGGAGTACGGAGGAGTACGGAGGAGTACGGAGGAGTACGGAGGAGTACGGAGTAGTGCGGAGGAGGACGGAGTAGTACGGAGGAGGACGGAGGAGGACGGAGGAGTACGGAGGAGTACGGAGTAGTACGGAGGAGTACGGAGTAGTACGGAGGAGTACGGAGGAGTACGGAGGAGTACGGAGGAGTACGGAGGAGTACGGAGGAGTACGGAGTAGTACGGAGTAGTACGGAGTAGTACGGAGTAGTACGGAGTAGTACGGAGTAGTACGGAGTAGTCCGGAGTAGTGCGGAGTAGTACGGAGTAGTACGGAGTAGTACGGAGTAGTACGGAGTAGTACGGAGTAGTACGGAGTAGTACGCAGTACAGAGTACAGAGTACGCAGTACGCAGTACGCAGTACGCAGTACGCAGTAAGCAGTAAGCAGAAAGCAGTAAGCACTAAGCACTAAGCACTAAGCAGTAAGCAGTAAGCAGTAAGCAGTAAGCAGTAAGCAGTAAGTACTAAGCAGTAACCAGTAAGCAGTAAGCAGTAAGCAGTAAGCAGTAAGCAGTAAGCACGTAGTACGTAGTACGTAGTACGTCGTACGTCGTACGTCGTACGTAGTACGTAGTACGTCGTACGTAGTAAGTAGGTAGTGGTAGTAGTAGTAGTAGTAGTGGTAGTGGTAGTGGTAGTGGTAGTGGTAGTGGTAGTGGTAGTGGTAGTGGTAGTGGTAGTGGTAGTGGTAGTGGTAGTAGTGGTAGTAGTAGTAGTAGAAGTAGAGAAGTAGAAGTAGTAGTAGTAGTAGTAGTAGGGGAAGCCGGCGGTAGGACGGCGCAAAAATGCACTGCATTGCTTGGTCATGAAACAAAAACTACCACGCTTATATGGAATTACTGTTTGGGATCTACGGCCGCTGCTTTCTTGCTGTTGGGGATATTCTTTGGGCTTATTTGTACAACATTGGTTTCTCATTCTGCATGTCGAATCGGATGGACAGATCGTTGAATGTGTTCAGACAGTCGTCATGGTATAATTTTCTGCAGCATTTTTTAAGGACCGAGGCTTGGTAAAGTGGGCTTGGTGACCGGCCAAACCGAGGCCAAAGTTGCGATGATCACTGTGGCCAGCGCAGCTGTGATGTGGGCAAGATCCGGGACGTTACTGCCACTGACCTGAATGACCTGGCTGTGCAAGAGTTCGGAGTGGCATGTAGTCCGCCGATGACAGTGTACTCAACATTGCCGAGCAGCCCTTCAATGGTGTACTTTGCTCCTAGTTCCACCAGCCCTTCACAAGTTATTTGCTTTCGTAACTCCGCAGCTTCATCAGCTTGCGAAGCAGACCCTGCTCCAGACCCTTCTTTGCCGGGTTTACTCCCACAACGAGTCTGTTACTGCATGGATTCTGGAGGAGGTGTGGGTGATCCCCACATCCGCAGCTTGCGGGGAGCCCACTACACCTTGCTGCAGCAAGGTGTTTTCATCGCCTGGAACTTCTCCAAGGCTGTGCCGGCCTCAGCTCTCCCAGTTGCAGCTCCAGCTCGTGGGTGGCAGCTCCTGGCCGCCTATGCAGGCGATCACTTCACCACGCAAGGCCTGCTACTCCTGGACCGCTCCGGGCAGTCCATGGAGATCACCGCAGAAGACTGCTCGTGGCATGTCAAGGAGAAGAAATCCCCATGGCGCAAGGCGCAGGTGGAGTTGCTATCGGCAGATGGGACGACCAGCCTCCAAGTGAAGAAGCTACACGAGAAACTCGGCGAAACCAAGATGTTGAGGTCTGCGATCCTCTTGAAGATGATGGAGTCAGGGTCAGACATGAAGAAGATCGCGAACCTTGTGGTCCATTGCAGGCCAAACGATCACCTGGACTTCAAGATAGTCATGTTCCAGAAGAGCGACATCAACCATGTAGGTGGCGAACTTGGAGTGGCTCCAGACGCAAACCACAGCTACCACTTCTTGTTCAGCAAGCAAGGCATGATGCGAATGAGGGCAGACCAAGAGTTTAAGGCTGGGATGACTCAGAGACATTTCGCAAAAGATGGAGACACATGTCCAGACTACCCGTTCCCAGAGAGACTAGTGACTGCTACTATTGTTTTGGTGACAGCAGTTGTGGAAGGTACTATACTTTGAATGCATCATAATAATATCAATACAACGGTCTTCAGCAAAGCTAAGGGGCTTTAAATACAGTGGATATTCTAAGGGATTCCTGACACTTCAAGTATAGTATCCGAGATTTTCCCGAACACTTTCCCCTTCTCAGCTAATCGTCAGAGCAGTAAAATGTATAGATACGATTAGATATGTATAGTATTATGTATATGTATGTATACTTAAGAAGTGATGCTGGGTGTACTTGAACCCAGTCCATACCGTTCCATGCCATGCCATGAAATTTCAGCAGCCTTGTTTTGGGTGACGGCGCCTCTCAGGCGACCGCACTGTTGTAAATTTTACCATGTGATGTTGAGTTGGTCTTAATGTTTTCATGTTGATTTGACGTGAATGTCGGGTTCTTGGGGATGTTCGTCCTGTTTCAATCGCTACGTCAGAGCATGGGGTGGGGTGGGGTGGGGGGGGGATGGGGTGGGCTAATAACGTTCATGTCGGCTCCCGGAAGGATGTGATGCTACGTCATGCTACGTCGTTCAGATGTTGAAGTAACTTCAAATGGGGTGGGGTGGGGGGGGGATGGGGTGGGCTAATAACGTTCATGTCGGCTCCCGGAAGGATGTGATGCTACGTCATGCTACGTCGTTCAGATGTTGAAGTAACTTCAAATGGGGTGGGGTGGGGGGGGGGTGGGGTGGGCTAATAACGTTCATGTCGGCGGCCGGAAGGATGTGATGCTACGTCATGCTACGTCGTTCAGATGTTTAAAGTAACTTCAAATGGGGGTGGGGTGGGGGGGGGATGGGGTGGGCTAATAACGTTCATGTCGGCTCCGGAAGGAATGTGATGCTACGTCAGCTACGTCGTTCACGAACTTCAATGGGGAGATTGGGGGGGGGAGGGGGGGCTAATAACTTCATGTGCCTCCGGAGGATGTGATGTACTCGCTACGTCGTTCAGATGTTGAAGTAACTTCAAATGGGGTGGGGTGGGGGGGGGATGGGGTGGGCTAATAACGTTCATGTCGGCTGCCGGATGGGTGTGATGCTACGGCATGCTACGTTGTGAAGATGTTGAAGTAACTTCAAATGGGGGGGGTGGATGGGGTGGGCTAATACGTTCATGTTGGCTGCCGGAAGGAATGTGATCTACGTCATGCTACGTCGTTCAGATGTTGAAGTAACTTCAAATGGGGTGGGGTGGGGGGGGATGGGGTGGGCTAATAACGTTCATGTCGGCTGCCGGATGGATGTGATGCTACGGCATGCTACGTTGTGAAGATGTTGAAGTAACTTCAGGGACGCTCTGGATGCTACGTTGTGAAGATGTTGAAGTACTTCGTGAGCAGACCGCAGATGTAAAAAAGCTTCGAATGTGTTTCGGGAATATGTTTTCGAAATCCATTTTTTCCAAAAATCGCGTTTTCGCTACAGCGAAAACGACACGAAGTTAATTTTGAGGCGCGCCTCCAATGTTTTTGAACCATTTTTTAACATCGATCGAGCAAGGTTCATGAATAAAGTCCTGCGTTTTACAGGGAATTGTGCTTTGAACCTCTAAAACGACCTCTGAAAAACATGAAAGAGCGCGGTCGCTCCACAGGCGCTGCCACCTTGTTTTGAGGCACCTGGATCGTGGGTGACCTTGGGTGGCAGCCCAGCTGGCTCCGCATACTTGGAGACGAAACACCAAGCACGGACAAGTTTGCTGGAGACACAGAGCTGCGGTGACGCTCAGAAGGAGAGTGCCAGAGCCATTTGCGCCAAGCATCTCCAGGAAACACGTCACCCACAGATATTCGCAGATTGTGAGTACGACTTATGCCATGGAGGTGATGAATCTTTCGCCCAAAGTGCGGCAGCATTCCTTTCGCCGCTTGAGGAATCCAGCGCGTGAGACTGTATCCTGTACGAACAGTCTGCGCTGATGCAAAACAAGCTTTCGTTTTTCCTTGCTGCCGAACTTTTGCAATCTGAATTCCAAGCTTCACTGCCAGGCTTTCCAAAAATCAAACGGTAGCATCGGTAGAATTGCAAAACTTTCCTGCAATGGGCAATCTGGAAAAGAGCAAGTCTTTTGCGTTTGCTTCTCTGACGCCTTTGACGCTTGGTGTCTGAGGTTTTTCAGCGCGACAATTGCCACTAGCCAGGCGTTCGGGCGGACACGGAAAGCCATCATGTTTTCCATGTTTTTCGGTCAAAGCTGAACGACTTAATGGATCCACAAGTATTTAGTGAATTGGTATGCATTGCATTGTATTTACGCTTTTTGGTAGGGGAACCATCCCCAACTCCTTCCAATTGGCACAGCAATGGTGTTTTGCTCCCAATCAGGGACCCCAAAATGAATCGATCTAGTACCAAACCAGAGTTATGAGGAGGATGTTTAATATTAAGGCAGTTGATTTTTCGAGGAGACGCCAAGGCAAAAACGCCATTGTGGCTACCGATTGGATGGAATGTGGGATCCCGATTCCCAACAGTTCTTGTAATGAAACATAATGAAACATAATGAAACCATGTTGGACTCTTAACGGTGATATGTTTGTGTGAAAATGTTGGAAACATCCATACAGAAGCCAAATGATGGCAGTGATGTCGAAAGTGAACAATAAGACATTGAATTAGTGAAGTTGTAAAGATGAATTCACATGTATCATATCCCTGGATCGCAGACGCGTCTTTAGGGTCAAAACACCAAGTGCTGCTGAATCTGGTAGCGGAGCTTCGTGCTCCAGGGACCAAGGTAGCCACTCGGTCGTATCGTACCGTCGGCTGTTTGCATGTGCTTTGCTGGGCTTGCGCTTCTGGCAGAGCTCTTTGCGCGCTTCGCTATCCAGGTTCTTTTTCTGCTGCTTTGCACCACTGAGTATATCCAGGTCACTTGCTCGCCGGGCTGCTTCAGCACCCCTGTAGAGCTCTTTGGCACTTGCTTTAGCACCCCTGTGGAGCTCTTTGGCATTTGCTTGGACTTCCCCGTGAATAACACCCTCAATTCGAATAAGTTTCAAGAAACTCAGTGTTGCAAGCATCAGTCATTTGAACCCAACACACATCAGTGGAATCACTACATCCTTGACGAGGAGTTTTGCATCCCTTGTTTTGTTGGAAGATCTGAATACAGAAAGGATGTGCCGCCCGGCTGGATGCCAGGCATTCCTGATTACAGCCTGCGGCTGTACCTGGACCATGTCCGCATGTGGTATCGGCTGTATGATGGACCGGACGAAACGGTTGGTCCTCTTCTTGCAGGAAGACTTGGCGGCAGGGCTCAGAAAATAGCCTTATCATTACGATTGCCTGATCCTCATGGAAATGTAGATGTTGGTGACGCTGCATTGGTGAGATTGGCAGTTGGTGAGGTAAGAGACCCAAACAATCCAGCCATGATCATTCAGCACCCCATTGTTTCTGGTGTTCAAGCTCTCTTCAACGCCTTGCGTGATGCTTTTGGTGAAGGAGATCAGGTTTGCGCCACTCAATCTCTTGAGAGCTTCTTTGACTTTCGTCGTGGACGTCTCAGTCTGGCAGAATACAGTGCTGAGTGGACCATGCGAATGGAAGAAGCAATGGCGCATGCTGGCTTGGACATCAACAATGTTGCGAGAACCTTTTTGTACTTTAGAGGGAGCCAATTGCCACAACGCCACATTGATGACATCCTTATGCAAATCCAAGGTGACCTCAATCGCTTCAACGATGCACGTGCTCTTGCTCTTCGTCTGGCACACCGTCAAGGTGTTGATGCTGCCAACAACCACTATGAGCAGACTGAAGAGTACCACATTGGCGATGATGCATGGTCATCGGAAGATTGGCAGGGTTCCAACTATTGGCATGGAGACTGGTGCTATGAAGGAGATGACTATGACGATGGCTCTGGGCAGTACTACGAAGAATGGCCTGATGAATATTGGTCCGAAGAGCAGTGGCCAGAAGATCCCACTTCACAACAACCATCTTCTGAAACTGCCGGAGCTGAAGATCAAGAGTACAGCAAGGACCAGTCTCCCAATGTCAACTACAAGAAGAACCTTGGCATCGGACGCACAGTTTGTGGATCAAAATGGCATGAGGCTTCAGTCTGCCCCATGTCGAACTCCAGCTATGGCAAGGGCAAGTTCAAAGGCAAGAGCAAAGGAAAAGGCAAGTTTTGGAAAGGCAAAGGAAAAGGAAAACCTGGATGGTCTCGCGGCTTCTACCGTCGCCCTTGGAGTTCATGGAGAGGCAAAGGCAAGGGCTACGGCAAACACTATGTGGATGGAGATGACTATGACGATCCTATGCATGGAACTGGAACAATGACTATTTCATCAGTCGACAAGAACGAGATCGGCTGCAGCTTCATCATGCACGATCGGGTCTTCCTGCGGAGACATCACAACCCGATCTAACTATGTCATCGACTGTATCTCCTACCACAACTATGAATGAGCCGCGAGGAAGTGAAGAGGTGCTTTCGTTTGGAAACAAGACTTCTACGACAAGTGCCGTAGAGAACAAGACTTCTTTGCCGACCAAAACTTTGGCCTTTCCCATGTTCCATGAACCCTCGACCATTTTTCATCAAGTTCGAGGTTCCAAGCGTCGAGGCCTACTTGTGGACCCTGGTGCCAGTGCAGGCATCATTGGGTCAGAAACACTCAGAGATATCCTCGACAACGTGGCCATGCTGAGAGACAAACCATCGATGGTTGAGTGGTCAGATCGATCCACATCAGTCACTGGAATCTCAGGTCAGAATGACTCCACGCTGGCACATGTGACATTCCCTTTTCATCTTGGACCAGAACTCATGGGCACCTTTTCTGCAGATGTTCTTGGAAATGAAGGAAGCCTGTGTCCAGCTCTCCTGCCGAATCCATCTTTGCGGCGAATCCATGCTGGAGTGATGACAGAATGGTTTTCCAACGGAGATGGTCTGCTTGTCTACAAAGATCCCCTTAATGAGAATGAGAACAAGATCCAAGCACTGAGGATTCTCTTGACAGACTCTGGTCACTATATTCTCTCAATTGATAACTCTCAAGAACCTGTTGATAAACAAGAACAAGTGAAGATCAACTTCTACTTACAATCCATTTTTCAACACTCATCAGAACATTGGAACGACATCCACAATGACATTCAATCAATTTTCAGCACCAGCTCAACAGAACCACAGGCGGCCCTGATGGAGCCTAAGCAGGGTGAAGCTACGACCCTTGACAACAACCACAACAAGGACCGATGGGAGATTGACACAGAGAATGGCAAGATTGTGAAGTTTCATACTCGTCCTCGCTTGGCCTTGTTTGTTCCTCAAGCAGACCATTGTCCAGTGCCCATTTCTCAACTGAGCAAGAAGCGAACAACCAAGATTCACTATCAAGATGGACACACTGAAGAAAAGTCCGATCAGTGGTCTGATGACGGCAATGATCGACTTCTTCACGATCGTTGGACAGGATCCACAACATTTGAGCTTGTTTCATGCAACAGGCCTGAACAATTTCAAATCCATGATGAAACAGATCAGATGTATCAAGATAGTGAGCTTGAATCTTATCAAGGTGACTTCTTTCCTGACCACATCACTGAAGACCACAAGAAACGCCTCATCAAACGCTATGCTGCTCACCCAGAGATGTTCTACACAAAGACATGCAGACCAGTGGTGCGCCCAGACAATGTGCGACAGTGGATGAAACGACATCGAAATCAAGGACGATATCATCTCTGGGAATTGTGCTCTGGTAGCGGTCAATTGTCTTTGATTGCCCTTCTCTGCGGACTCACTGTGATCTTTCCTGTTGACCTGCGATATGGCTGGGACATTGGCTATGGTCCACATCAAGCTCTACTACGAGAAGTCCAGAAAACAATGGAGCCAGATGTCATGGTCATGGAACCAACATGTAGGCCATGGTCAGTCTCATTCAATCGCAGCTCACCTGAGAAAGTTGAAGAAGAAAGAGAAGCAGAGAGACCATGTCTTCGTCACATACAAGAATCAGCACGAGAACAAGATCGCAAGAATCGAGGTTTTGTTGTCGAACACCCCTGGTCATCTCACATGTGGCGAGACACAGAATATCCAGGGCACTGCACTCGAACTGACCAATGCAGATATGGTGCAGCTGATGAGAATGGTGAACCAGTGCTCAAACCCACTGGTCTTCAGGCCAACTTTGAACTACGATATTCATGCAGTTTGTGCAAAAGGACATGGAGGCAAAAGACATGCTTGGCTGCAAGGTCAATATCAAGGTATCAATCGAACTGCTCTTGCAGCGGTGTATCCTGAAAGATTTTGCCGTGCAATTGTCAAAGACATCAAGCTCTTCTGCAGCCGCATTCATGCAGCTCATGTAGATGATCCTGAGATTGATGAGCACTACTACACGTGTCCTCGCTGTAGCCTGGGACGATGGGCCAGAGACTTTGAACAACACACCTTCATGCCTGGTGAATGCAGATATGGTCGGTGGCCACAGAATGAGAAACCCAAGACCATCAAGGAGCAGATTGCCGAACGTGAGAAGGATGCCAGCAAGACCCCCTTGGATCTTTATCGCGATGACGCGGTGAACAATCGGCGTCTCAGAGAGGCCAAGCTGAGCACCCTTCCTGAACTTCCTCTGAATGAAGAACATGGACAGATTCTGAAGCATTCACTGTATCGAATCTTGGAGCTTTCAGTTCGGCATCAAGGAACCAACAAAAATGCCTATGTTTATTGGCTTGAAGATCCGATCATTCTGCAGTGGATGAAAATCATCTTTGCGCCAGTCATGAGAGTCTCTGGACTTTGTACTCATGTTCAGCCTTGGACGAAACCTTTGCCAACACCAACACTTCGAATTGAATCTGGATATCTGCGATTGATGCTGCGTGGACAGATGTGGAGTTGGAAGATGTTTCCAGTGAAGACCTGCGAGAGATGTCCAATCATCAATGGCATGAACCTACCGACATTGACATGGATTGGTTGGTCACGTTTTTTGGAACTGATCCACAAGAAGAAGCACCACCAGCTGCACCCTCTTCATCAAGCACACAGGTTAAGAAATATCAGAGCTCTCCTACTACTCCATCTACCAAGCGATCTCCTGGCACACCTTTGTCGAAGGCTTTGACTGGAGCTCCAAAGACACCAGCACCAGAAGAGCCTGATCCAATATTAGAGATTTTTGAAGAACCTTTGAAACCACCATATGCTGGAAATGATGATCAGAAGACTGACTATGAACCCAGCATTGCCGACTCCGATGCGTTGCGGAATCAAGCAGTAGATGGAGAAGAACATCAACATCAAGCAGATGAAGAAGAGGCAGTGGAAGTGATTGACCGATCAGCCAAGGAAGAAATCATCAAGCCCACTTACGACTTTCGTCGTGTGTATCATCAGATGAACAAGCCGCAAAGAGGCTACTTCTGGGACTTCATGAACGTTTTTGGCATTGTCCAATCTCTGACTTTCGCGACATTCTTTCAAGATGTGGAATGCCACCAGAAGTACTTCGACTAGCACCAGAAGCAGTCTCCTCTTGCGCAGTGTGTCGTAAGTTTGTTCGTGCGACAAGACGACCACAGGTCAAGACTAGCCTTGCTTGTGATTTCAATGAATGCATCCAGGTGGACATCTTTTACTTGCAGGGCGACATGTTCCTGATCATTGTGGACGAGGCGACACGGTTCAAAAGTGGTGGTATGTTGAGAAGCCGTGAGTTATCTTCCATTCTTAGCTGCCTCATCAACAATTGGCTTCGTTTCTTTGGACCGCCAAGAGAACTAGTGGCAGACCAAGAATCGTCCATCATGACTCAAGATGCTGGCGCTGAGATGGATCGCCTTCACATCACAAGGAAGCCTAAAGGAACAACCACTGGCCGTGAAGGAAAGAAACACACTGGAACAGGTCTTGTGGAGAAACACATTGACCTGACCAAGAACAGCATGCTCAAGATCAAGGAGGAAGCTGCTCGATACAACATCATTGTGGAAAAGGAAGAGCTCCTATCAGAATCTTTGATGGCACAGAATAGCACTCTGAATTTTGGTGGATACACGCCAGCGATGTGTGTTTTCGGAGTGCTCCCTCGCGGATTCATGAACGTTGATGCGGTGAACATTGCAGAAGAAGGAGCTGATCCCACAACATCCACTTTTGAGCGAGCAGCACGTCTCAGGCAGATTGCTCTTGCTGCGTCACAGAGATCAATCATTGAGGACAGAATGCTTCGTGCAGGACGAACCAGACCTCAACACATTGACACGACAGCCATGATTCCAGGAACGACTGAAGTTGAAATTTTCAGAGAAGATCCTGCCAATGCCGGTCATGGTTGGAGAGGCCCAGCTCAACTTCTTGATCTGGATGAGAACAATGGTACTGTCATTGTCAAGTACCAAGGACGACCATACCTGATGTCTATTCGACACATACGTCCATTTCGAGGTCATTTCTTTAATCAAGATGATCATGCAGTACAAGAGCAAGCACTGCACAGACTACAACACCTTGTTGATCATTGCACACCATATCGCATGCATGGACGTGGCCAGATTTACATCAAGGACACGAACACTGGAGCAGAATCTTGGAAGAACTTTCCTGCAGATCTGAATATACAGGAGGATCAAGTGATGCGGGATGCCAACATGGTAGCAAAGTATTTCAACATGAATCTGTTTCATGGTGTTCGATATGGTAGAGCTCTGAAGTCAATCTATGTTCCAAAATACACCAAGGGCATTCTCATTTGATGGCCTACGGGAACCAAAGATTGTGTGATGACCGAACATTTGACAGACCAGCACATCTCCATCAAGAAGGAAATGCTGCGAGTTCTGGATGACATTAGCTCCATGTACCTGTATTGCTATGTTTTCTTTGAAGAAACCAGCCACCAAGCAATGCAAGCACATCAGCTCCCATGTCTCTTCCAGACGTAGAGATGGATGAACTAGATGGAGATCATCGCACATCACTCAAACGAGACGGCCCAGAGACCAGAACAGTGATCATTGGACAAGAACGTAAACGACAGAAGACACACTTTGCCATTTCCTTGGAAGAACTGCATTTGCGATCTTTGTGGTGGATGCTGCAGAGACGAATTCGAGTGAATTGGGACCCACTTTGTTTCTATGAGAACATGACTGTAGACAAGAATGAGTTCCTCAA